TCCTACCTAGCATTCACAGTAAGACTTGAATGCAGTGAGCGGAAGTTATAAATGGTTCCMTAAAATGAATGATGAGGAAAACCCGAACATTAAATGGATGTTTACTCACAAAAATACACCATCCAATCATCAAATGAGGCAAAAGAACCTGTACAAGCTGCACAGGCTAAGTAAATATTACACTGAAAATCTGAAGAAAAGCACATCTTAAATTCTCCGGGAYTGATTTTACAGACTCCAAGCTTGTCTAACACACCTTGTGATGTATTACAGGTGATGATGGTACCAATGGTTATTAATAAAGTTCTTTGGTATTTCCCTTCATAATCCTCATTTTAATGTTCCTTGWAACTTACTGTAAATTTAATGACAACTTTCCTTGCTTTTTCTCTGTCTCAGACTGGTTTCCTCTGTGTGCATGCATGGGCTGTGTATGGGCTGAGACATTTCCACTATTTAAATCTACTTTCAAGTAAATGTTTTTTCTCATAAGAAAAAGAAACAAAAATTTCTGGTGTTCTCCACTGAAAAGAGAATACCTGAGTATTTATCTGCATTCTCTAGAAATTATATCGTAGAAATACTGAATTTCACTAGAAAACCGCAGTTTGCATTTAGTAGCAGAAACTCCCTARAGTACTAGGATCAACATTCTACCCGCATTTGTATCACTTCACAGAGTATTTTTTTTATCTGAATCTGATAGTTTGAGCTGCTATGGGTGGGGTTATCACRTGGTACCAAACTATAAAACAAATGGAGTACAAAACTAATGAAGTAGATCTAGGACTGACAGCAACTCAGCCTACCAGGTGAGGGAAACTAGAGCTGGAACCTAGTGGAAAAGAGAAAAAATCTGGGATTTGGGGCCAAATATGGAGTAGAAATGAATGGGATATGTCAGCAAGACTATAGAACAAATCAGGAAGGAGATGGGAATAGAGTGCTGGAAATGGAAGCTCTTGATGAGATGRGGTAAAAGTACTAATTCTGGGATTTCCAAATTCAAGAGTTTAAATTTGCAACCCTAACAATAACTGGATGTAGGACACTTGCATATGTTTTAGACATATATACACATTTGTTATAAGCAGGAAAGAATATGTGTAGCATCATATTATGTAATTAAAATCAGAAATGATGTTTGGACACTGAGGTGTATTGGCCCTCTGAATTATCTGCACACCACAGGTCTGCTGACACATCAATGACTTGCCATGATGGAGAACTGAAGCACAGCAGGGCAATGCATCTTATCCTAGACCACCGTGATCGCCTTCAGCAGAGACAGAAATCAAGCTCGTGTAACGCGGGCCTGAGACCTGAGGTTTAACCAGAAGGCACTCACTCTTCTTGCCTAGTGACAATTCAGGATGGATTGGACAAACATCTACCATTCTGAAACATTGCAAGGCAGCACGCCAGGAACAATCACTGTGAAAGAGATGGGGAATGTCTCTGCATGCCACTGCCTGGATAGGTAAAGAGGAAGAAGAGCTGAAGAGATCTAAAATAATAGAAGTAGCCTATCACATCTTTCTCTTGCTTCCTTGCCTGCTGTTAGCTGACAGACCTTCCCTGCTTCTGAACGAATGAAGAGACTCACTGTGTTATTTTGGCATTTCAAGGACCATCTCTCTGTAAGGCTGCCTTGCTGTGCAATTTCTGTCATGAGCAGAATCAGTCCTGCAGAACCTACACAGCCTCTTCCCCTCAAGGGTTTAAATACACTAAAAAACCTACAGCTTATTCCTCTGTGCTATGCATACACAATTCCTGTAATGGGCATTCATTACAATCAAGGCCCAATGTGCAGTCTGYCAGTGACAAATTATGTCAGTGAAAGAGCAAGTCCATTCTTACCTCCTTCTCCTACACAAACACACGAGGATTGAACTTTTATTGTTTCATCCAGGCAACCTGTCAGTACTGCAGAAAACCATGCAGACCTAAGGAGTAACTCCCAGAAAACACTGACTCTGAGGTATGCAATTACATCGTACTTCAGGCTACGTGAGGCTACTCTTCAAGAGGTCAGTCAAGGTTCTGTGGTGACCTGAAGACTACCCAAACTTTGGACTAAACTTAGCAGTTCACTTGTGACAGCAAAGAATTTTTGACTGAAGTCTCCCCGCTTTGCTGAACTGACAAAGTTAGCTGTATCACACGGCTCAACTCCATCTGAGCCTCCCACTCTGACTGACAGAAATACCTGGAGACTCCTTGTGTGACTGTCAATGGAAATGTTACAGTTTCATCTCATTATCAGTGTGCACAGTATGTATAAAGCCATTCTTGAAACTAACTTTTGGGCGCACAGARGAGCATCTCATTAAAGCTCAATATCTCAGCCATGATTCACTCTGTTTTGTTCCTTTTCATGCTGGCTGAAAGTACTAACTATATGGGTAGGCAAAACTGTTGCCTTAAAAAGCTCTGAGGTTGGTTACTGTGTRTGCTCCAAGGGAAAGGGAGTCATAACTGGATTACCTTTTTCTGCGAACAGTGTGGCATATTGTTATATATTCCTTCCTTCCTTCCTTCCTCCCTTCACCCCCCAAACCAGGGAGATCACAAGACAGCAATATCAGCCAYGCTGGGCTGCATGCCAGGAGAATTAATGAAGTGGTGTAATAGCTCACATGGAGGCCTAGTTACTGGCAACACACTTAAAATGCATCTACAAGGCAGGAGATCATAGCATTGCTGCTGTGTTCTGTTTATTACAGGCACATCTCTTCCATTCCATTGATTTCTGTATTAGTGCATTTTAAGGCCACAATGTGGGGGCTGGATCTGCTTGAAGCATGGAGGTTTGAATTCCAGCACAGYTTATGGAAAGGAAGTCACCCTTTGAGACTCCAGATCTGGATGACAGAGCTCAGTGCTAACAAGARCAGGAACCCTACTGAGAGGTTCCCAAGGAGTTTGAAATATCCTACAGGGCAATTGAGGCTAGGTTGGCTTCTATACTTCCTCTTTTTCCTCATGGAAGGAAGGGGAACAGTTTTCTCTAGAGAGTGTACAGGCTTTGTGGCAAATGCAGGGAGGACTGCATTCCYTTATCTAGAGGGGAAGTTTGAAAGCAGCTGCAAGCAACAGATGTGTAGAATCACTGAATGGTTTAGGTTGGAAGGGATCTTTAAAGCTCATCTAGTCCAATTCCCCTGCAGTGAGCAGGGATATCTTCAAACAGACCAGGTTGCTCAGAGCCACATCCAACTGGACCCTGGATGTTTCTAGGGATGGGGAACCTACCACCTCTTTGAGAAACCTGTTCAGTGTTTTATCACCCTCAGAGCAGAAAACTTCTTCCTTGTAGGTAATCCTTTTTTAGTTTAAAACAATTATCCCTTGTCCTGTCACAACAGGTCCTGCTAAACAGTCTGTCTTCATCTTTTTTGTAGTTGCCCTTTCTGTACTGAAAGTTTGCAATAAGGTCTCCTGGAGCCTTTTCTCTCCAGCCTGAATAACCTCAACTCTATCAGTCTGTCCTCACAGRTGAGGTGTTACAGCCTTCCAACCATCCTCATGGCCTCTGGACCCACTTTTAATATCCTTCTTAYGCTATAGAACCCCCAAAGCAGGATGCAGTGCAGGTCTCATCAGAGCACAGCAGAGGGGCAGCACCCCCTCCCTCTTCCTGCTGGTCATGCTCCTTTGGATGCAGCCCAGGATACATTTGGCTCTCTGGGCTGCAAGTGCACATGGCTGGCTCATGTCCAGCCTTTCACCCACCAGTACCCCCAAGCCCTTCTCAGCAGGACTGCTCTGAAACCTTTCATCCCTCAGCCTGTATTGATATCACTGAGTGTCTTCCTACCCAAGCGCAGGACCTGGTACTCGGCCTTGGCATTACAGCCCTCCTTCCTTTTCCTTTGTGCTGCTAAGAACTCAGATTTTGACTTGACATGGACAGGAGAAACAGTGGGTACCAGTTTACTCATCAACCAGCATTCTATGATACCATGAACTTCAAGTACTTTTGCTATCCATTATTCATAACTTGGAAAGCAGAGCCATACAGCCTGAGAGGCAGGGGCTGGGCTTTAGAGGGAACCATGACGGCTCCATGTCTATCCTGAACTGRCCTGGCCCAGAGAACAGATGGAAAAAAACATGAACTGTAACCATCTRAGCTGAAGCTATCAGAATCATAATACCAAAGGACAAGAAGAGTCAGTCTGCATGGGAGGAAGTAGAAATCTGCTGGCACTGTCTGGTTTCTGTGCTTGCTGTTATAACAAATTCAGACACAGCTGAAAGCCGGTGTAGTGGTGCCAGGCTGCAGCACCTCGATGCAGCTATTGCCCTTGCTACAGCTCAGTGCCACAGCTCCTGCACAATCACCACAGCACAGGGAATTGGGGAACATGGCCCCCGTGGTGCCCCAAGGTGACTGAATTCCTATGGAAATGTCTTTAGACTGCCCCTACAATAGTCCACCAGGCAGGTTCCACCATACTTGCATTCATGCCCTGCCTGTCACTGCAAAGGACCCTGCTTCCTTCCTGTCACTCCTGCATGGGAACTGACAGAAGCAGTGTGGAGTATGAACACCAACAGCTGCAGGCAGAGAGCCTAGACAGAACATACAAATTTCATTTAAGAACTTCTAGATTCATTTATTTTTCCACCCCGTAATATTTTTTCAAAGTCTCTTCTTAAAACAGTCAACAGCACTGCTTTCAGCTCCCAAAAATTATATGGCCAGTGAATGCAAACATATACCAGCATCTGCAGGCAAATCCAAATCTGAAGGCCTTGATTTTTATATCTGTATGTGACACTTATAGTGGCCTGATTTCACCGTAAAGCACTTAACACCCCCTTTCTTTTAGTCATCTTCCACACTACATACATCATATAAACTTATTGTCTTGCTGGTCAACACCAATGCAGTGTGTAGGTCTGCAGATTTTTACTGAAACCCTTATTATAGACAACTTCTGTGTCTGGAATCTGCTYCTCATTTTTGTAATAGGCTTTGAGACACTCACCCACAACTGGTTTCTAACAAGCTGTCCCCAACCTGCAGAGATGCCATCCCRAAGTCTGCTATCCGGATGTTGTTCTTTTCATCCAGCAGTAGGTTTTCTGGTTTTAAGTCCCTGTGGCTGTAAAGAAAGGGTCAAAATGTGAGTTAAAATATCCACAACAGCTTTCCCACTCCAAAACTCGTTCTTTATCCAGAATAGCATCCAACCTGTTTTACTGTAATTGATCTAATTTGTTTTCCTGTCCCAGGCAGGAGAACACACACAACCAAGACCCAATCCTTGCAGTATTCTAGACCTCATCCCAGATGGCCACTCCTGATGAATGTAAGGCCTGCAGTGTCCTGCCAGAAAAGAAACATCTTCAAATTCTAGTGATACCAACACAATTATGAGGGAGAAACTGAGGGAAATAATAGGAGAATTTCAGCTTGGGACTGATATACTCCATCATATGACAGATCCTTAAGGTAGGAGGCAACACCATCAATACACTCTGTAAACAACAGGAAACAAAATGAGTGATATCTAGAGAAAAAAAAATTCTTGGTGTAAATGCTACTGCAAAACATTCATATTAGGAATTGTTTACATAGGCATAAGGCTTTGAAATAATTTTGGGTAATTAGCTCTGATGGAGAAATCCCTTCAACTCAGCAGCRCTTTCCACTGAGTGTGTCAGCAGTGGGAAGGAGAGAGGATTCCCTTCTTTCCATCAGAGCTTGATTCTCTTATTATTTGCCAACACGGGAAGAGCCAGGCAGCCACCATCTTTATGATGGTAACTCCTGCTCTAAAGCACATATTCATATATTTATTAATTTCCACTGCTCACAGCCAAAACCACTGTTGCCCCCACATCTGCTTCTAAGTATTCAGGTGCTTCTGTACAACTATAACATTCACTTGACTTTTTATCCAAAGACAAGAATATCGCACAAAATTTGTGATGACTGTGGTTTTTTTTTTTTTTTTTCATTTGCAACTTTTGGGAAGTCACAGAGATTAGAGAAGCACTTCAGGCTGACTAAAGAAAAGAGTCTTCTTGAGTTTGCTTATGAGTAGGCAAAATTGCTCTGTAAAGTAAAGAAGTAAAGAGGCAGGACTGCCAGCTTGCATGGACAAGCAGAACTRTGTAAAAAGGACATCCTACAACATTGAGTGTCAGGCAAACAATGCTCACTTGCAAAAATTTGCTACTAAAAGCAGTTACTCTGACCAGAAACTGAACTGGGCAAAAGACCTGGGTACCAGGATAGTCAAGTGATACCAATCATGGAAGGCAGCCTTATCTTTATGCCATTTCCTCTTCATGTTTTAAAACATTCCCCTAACACACCTCATGCACGCAAGTGTAATTCTACCCCTACACAAGAGTAAAGATGGACAGTCTCTTCCCTCTCAGAGCAACATGAGCAGCATGACAAGGCCTTGGAAATGAGATTCTCTGATCTGAAGAGAAGAGGAATGATTAGTTAGAGACAACTTGTAAATAATACAGGTTAATTCTATGTAAAACCAGAGCACAAGGTAATAGGAGAGCTGGAGACTGTAACGATTATTTCCAAAGGAGACTCCCAACAAAACAGCACACATTCAAAGCAGTTACTGGTCATCTGCCCCACTGAGACCTATGATTTCTTCCCTCTTGCTTTTTAAAATTTAGTCTCCAATCTTGTATAAACATTATGAACCTGTATATAAAACAGTGGCCTTGTTAACCACAGTCTACAATTCTGTAGATAATGGAGCATCATGATTCAGATTTCTGCATATTTTCATCTGGAAATGGAAAAGGTGCTTTACCAAATCTGTATTTCTCATAGAAATCCAAGGTTTGAGGTAACTGGAGACAGACTTACTAGTTCTATAATAAYCATCACAATAGTCATAACTAGTTGACAAAAAAATGCAGGAGATGAGTGACAAGGTAAGGTTCCAGAGGATATGAATGAGCAGTTAATGGCCAGGAAAAGAACCCCAGAATGTCATCATCAAGAACAGCAGTCCCAGACAAAGACAAGATCATCAACACCTGCCGAAGTTTAACATTCTCCAGCTCCAGCAGTGAAATGGATTGAAGAGCCCATAGTAGTAAGGCAAGTGAGGAAAGCTGGACACTAATGAGACAGTAGTGTGTGATTTCATCTTTCCTTTGCAGACATCCTGGACAGTTCTCATCTTACAACTGCTTTCATTAATGAGAAGACTTTATCCAGCTGGGGAGATGTGCTGCAGTTCCTGTCTGAGGACCAGGGTTCAGGAGCAGGTAACAGCTCCTGTAAAGTAAGCATTGCTTGTTTGATGCTATGAAACAAGAAACCTCCTCASAGCTCGAGCTGAGAGTGTGTCCTTCCGCTGTGCAGCTTTTCAGTGGCTGTAGTTGTCTTTCAGTCTTGGCAGCTGCTCCTGGCTGACTGCTGAACAGATGCATGGTTTAGAAGCTGAGGGTGCTGCTGCCTGTGCCTGTTGCACTGCTTGTGCACTGCATGATACGGTATGATTCATATATATATTCAGTTTATAGCAGRCATACTGCTGACATGTGACTTTTGTACCTAAAAATTGAATCCTTTGCTTATCCTARACTTGTATAGTGCATTTAGAGAGAAGGAATGATCAAGGTGGAGCACGACCTAAGCACAGGACATCCAACAGCCTGGATGTACGCTCATAACAAAACACCTCATTTAAGGAACATGGTACAGCTAAAGGAAATGCAAAAATGCTCTCTTTCTATGACTCAAAGCTTCCAGCCTTGGCAGGTTTGCCACAGATGGAGCACAATGCATGTGAACCTTGAACCAGCCCTGCTCCCAGACCACTGAGAGGCAGTGAAAGGGGAGAGGCACCACCTTTGAAAAGAAGGACAATATTCACTTGTGGAAAGGAGTCTTCATGTCATCCTGTCTTCCCATCAGATGGGATCCACAACACAGTTTTAGGCCTGGGTTTTTAGGGAGAATCAAGTGGGGAAATGAGGCTTTGAATTTGCCTGGGGATAGAAGTCAGGACAGAAATTTGCACCAGAGTGGCAGAACCAGCATCACTGCCACTGGGAAAGAGACTTCCTCTCTGCATTTGCATTTCCCATCTTTATAYTGCCAACTTTTCAAATGCCAAGGGGAAGGGAGAGAAACTTACGGGAATAGTGAAGGCTTGTTATAATTTACCTAAGAGCCCAGCAGCTCAGACTGCCTAATGCACTCACATTTGAAAATAATTCTCTTGTGCCAAAATGAAACAAAATAAAACAAAACAAAAATCCCACTGTATGTGGTAATTACTTGGCATTAGTGGAGCAGTGCAGAGTAAATGCATTTAATTTGGTTCCATTCCAGCTGAAATCTCTGGCACTCCATGTCTTGTATGACCACATCAACTCCTCTCTGCAGGTGAGCAGAGGACTCGTTACCCTTTCCTTGTTCTAAAGGCTCTAAAGCTGTAGGGGCTTTATCAGACAACTGGAAAACMAGGAGAGAAGAAAGCAGCTTCTTTACTGACAAACACAGCAAACTCCAACTGAGCCTCCAATGTGCTGAGAAAGAATGCAAAAGAGAAATGCAGGACTGAAGAAGAAACCAGTGTCACCCTGATCCATAGTGGCCACAGACTCCCAGAGCTTCTGCACCAAGACAACAGYGTAAGAAGTCAGCCTCCTTAGCCAGCATCCAGTGGGGTTTTGAAGGGAGAGCATGGGAAAGGGAGCCATAGAGGAAGCCATGTCAGGGGAAGCACACACTGTCAGACTCTGGCAACATCTCTTTCACAAGCTACAACAAGGGCTTTGCAATTTCCTTGCAGCGTAAGATGGATGCAGAGAGAGCTCTGAAAAAACTTTTCCATGGAAATGGACACCATTCTTGGAGGTGGTGCATGGAAAATGAAAGGCTCATATATGCATTAACRTGTTCCAGCTTCCCACTTCCAGACTGGCCATGCTTGCTTTCTAGTCACTGCCAGGGATGCTATTCATACAGTTCCTTTAGTTGCCTCCAGTGTTTTTCCAGTCCGTCCTCCTGCTCTTRGAATATCCCTGTACCTGTACTGCAGCAACTGCAGAAGTAACACACTCTGCCTGTCACCCAGGGCTGTCAGAAGAATACAGGTGTAGAGGCATACTCTAGATCTTGGATTCAAAGGAACTATGYCAGCTGGCATGAGATGACAAACGGAGGTATTATTTTAAGGTGATGTTTGAACTGAAAACGTTCATATCAGTTTCTATGACAACTCATTGTAGGTCACAGATTTCTAACCCAAGAAACCTCTTAATTGGAGTAGTTGCAGGTCATTTGTACTAATCAAATTGTTGGCTACTTTGCAAATGCTTTTCTTACTGACCCCAAACTCCCAGTAGGGCCAGACTACAAAATAATTGCTCTGCAGTACTCCTCTTAGAGTGCCGGATGCGATGCAAATAATTTATCAGTAACAATTAATAGCATGAGAAGAATTTTTATAAATTTCATCAGAAAAAAAAAGCCTTTAATCTTATTTTCTCTTGCTTCTGAAAATCAGATCCAAAYATGTAAGCTGTATCTGCCTAGAGAAGATTCTTGGTTTATAGCCATGGTTGCTATGCTCAAATTTAGTAAGTTTTCACAGAATTTTGCAGGACAAGTAAATATAATTATAGCTAGGAAAAAGGACAACATCTATAAACATATCAGGAGTCCTGAGAAAGGGTTTATGTGCATAAAACACTGCTTGCTTTTCAATTATTTCCATTGATCCATTAAAATATATTGTTTCTCCCTGCCAACCTCTCCTCAAAGAATATATTCATGTGTTTCAAAGCCAGCACAGACTGTCAGGTCCGATCACCACTGCTGCACTTCCCAGAGTATGTTACGTGGTTATGCTTACAGTACGACTATGCTATTTTTGAGTTTCCAGTGGCTTATTTAAAGAAGAAAACTTACAAAAATACATGTTCTCTGACTTTAGCTGAGCTGGTAACTTTGCCTTTGGCATCGCAGCTGCTGCACTTGATGGGTTTTCTCCCATTCCCTTACAAGGGATATCTGAAAATTCCTCACTGTTTTGCAGTGAGGCTTGATCACAGATCTGAAACTCTTGRATTCAGGTACTGATTGGTGAATATCAGCTTTCGACAGGGGAAAAATAGACCTTTCTCATTCTAAAGGTCTGAAAGAAAACCTGAAGGCTCAAGGACCAGAAAAAAATAAAAACAACCCCAAACCAGCAACCAATCTTACTAAATGCCTACAATTTCTAGACCAGTTTCACATTGGAGGCCTTGAGTCATGATTTCAAAGCATCCATCTGCTGGAGTCTTCAGCATTGGACAGACCCTCCCTGCAGAACACTCCAGCATGCTCCTTATAAATGAAGCAGGGCAGGGCTGGAGTTAAGAGGAGGGTGGCACTATCTGACAGAACATGGCACCTGGCATTCTTCAGCCCTCTCTGTTTCTCGGAGACACCCCAGATTTCTCTCTAAAAGCCTGCTTCCCTTACTGACAGTGCTCTCTGCAGCTTCTGSCTGCAGGAATATACCAGAGATTTTGGCACTACTGCTGTGAAATCTTGAAGTGTTATTTTATGAGGAGCCTTTCCCTCCCTGCGCTGAGGGAAGAACACACGGCAAAGTCAAACAAAGCACTGATTCATCTCCTCAGCCCTCCAAGTCACACASCCCCATGCCCACGCAGGCACACACAGACACTCTTCAGCAAGAGCCTTCCTTGTGTGTACTCAAACAAGCACAGCCCCAGGCAAAGAAAGGAGAAAGGGCCCTCATAATTGTCACTTATCAATATTCATAAAGAACCTGCCTTAACCCCTCTTGTGCACGCTCAGGGAGAAGGAAGAAAAAAAAAAGAAACACAAAATGAAACGCAACCAAAATAAAAATAAAATGAAATAATCATCTCACTGCTCATTACCGCAGGGGATWTCCTCTCAATGTCACCACTGCCCTGCGCAGTAATTGGCATTATCTGTTATCTCTGAAGCCATAATAAGGTTTGCCACGGGGCATTTTGTGTAATCATATTTTTATTTGTCAGCCGGTGGGAGCCGCAGCCAGCGCAGCGGAGCCGGGCCCGGCCGCGAGCGCGGGGCCGCGCGGCGCCAATGGCGGCTCGCGCCGGTGATGTCACGCGCAGCCAATGAGGAGCCCGCGGCCCGCCCCGCCCGGCGCTGCAGCAATTCCCACAGCCACAGCGAGCGAGGGGCTTGTCACCCGCTCTGTCCCCACAGGGAACCCGGGGCTTGTCACCCGCTCTGTCCCCGCAGCCACAGCGAGCGAGGGGCTTGTCACCCGCTCTGTCCCCACAG